TGGAACTTGATAAGGCATGCCCTCCAATCTATCATCTCTTCTTTGTTTGGCATTTGATGCTATTTTCACATGCTCTGAATGAGCAAATAAATGTGATTTATATTCTGTAAGGGTCCAGAATAGAGTGTGAATATGGCCACAAAAATCCTCGAGCAGCTTTTTGGGGAAATTCTCAATAAGAAGAGATTTCTATGGGATAGTACAGACTGCCAATAGAAGATACCTCTTGTGGGGTGGAATTAGCTCTGCAAGTCGATGAGTGAATGGGGTTAAGGAAATCATCAAGGTGTTAATATTTCTATAATCGCAAAGTAGGTGGTGTATGCTACATTAGAAGGATGCAGTGTGAAGTAAGGAATCACACTCGTATTGTATCTATATCAGATTCCAGCTACGTGTTCAATATTTACTGAACAAATAAATAATTTGGAAATTATATATATATATATTGTTTCGAACACGTATTTGATACTTTTCAAAAACTCTAGAATACGGTTTACACAACTTGAAATGACAGTATAGCATTTCTAGTGTGTAATCGTAGTATATTTCTCAGGACAAGCTTAATAAGGGTTTCAAAAACTTTCTAGAAGAATTAAGAATATGTCATATTTAATTTAATTGAATGTCAATGTCCATGCAAAATTACTAGTATTTTGATACAATTTTTAATAATATAAGATAGAAATAGAGACCATTTGTTATACTGTTGAAAAATACTTATTTGTTATAAGTTTTTATGGGAGAATTTTAGTCATGTAAACTCATAATATATGCTTATAATATGACGCTTCTTTTATTCTTTAATTAAATCATATACACATATATTTTTGTTTTTATACATATGTATGATCATTATAATCATTTCTTTGGTCTCATTTGAATGGGTTTGGCCACATGAATCCTCTTTTTTATTCTTTTCTATTGTAAGCTATATATATTAAGGTCATTTCTAATAACTTAATCCCAAGTTAATTTCGGATTGCCTGTTTGCCTCGTACCATCTATTTTAATTTGTGTTTCTTTCTTTACTGGTGCATTCTTTTGGCCTTGTTATATATGACCATACTATCTAAATGTACTTTCTCTTATTTTTTCACTAATATGTGCCATACCTAATCTTTCTTTAACATGTTGATTACTAATCTTTTTTTTTTTTTTTTCCCTGCATGGGATTGATTTTATTGATACAAATAAACATAAAGTACAATAGGAGAGAGTGATCAACAACTGACCACTAATAAAACATCAAAGTAAAAAAAAAATAATAATAATAAAAAATAAAAAAAACCAACTTAGGGCATACCCCAAGACTGAACCAACGTATAAAAACACAGCAAAAAAAATGGTCTGCTCTAAACTTAGGTAAGCAAAAGGAAAGCCCCCTAAGAATCCCTTTATCCACATGCACAATCCAACAGGATGCCTAGATCAGAGAGGGACAATCCCACTGCTGCTAGGCTTTCAAAGCATGCTTCCATGGCCAGTTGATGAGAAGAATGAAAATTGCCCCCATGAACCCTTCTGTTTCTTTCATTCCAGATACACCACACAATAGATGTGAAAAGACACCTCATTAATCTGCACTTCATGGATTGACCACTAGTATTGTTAATAAACCAAGATAAAACCTCAGAGAAGTGCTGCATCTCTAAAACTGCTTCCCACTGACATAGTTGAGATATCCACTGCCAAATCTGTCTAGTATAGAACAAATGATCTCTGTAATCGGCATTCTTGAAGCACAAATGACATATAGCTGGTCCAATGTAACCTCTCTTCCTGAGATTGAAAGGGAAATGCGTTGTGGAGAATCAAGGCAGTTTGGATGGACACTCTAGGTCTACCAGAGTTCCAAAATAATCTGTGCCATGACACCTTGTTACCCTTTTGTCTGCACTCACGCCACATTGATTTAAAGAACATCTGACCATGCTTTCAGTTAATTGAATCTTCAGTCCCTCTGTCAGGTAAGGAATTGAAAAACTGTCCAACCTCAGCAGGCCAGCAGTCAGGTATATTCCATCCAGTAGTAGTCTTCAGAAAGCAAGCTTATCAGAATAGGTAAATCCTGCTGGCAATAACCTTCTAAGGCCAAATTTCTGCTGAAGAGACTGTCCATTGAACCAGCGATCTTAAAATAAGTTAAAGTACTGTTCACTCCCAATAGAGAAATTAAAATGCTGAATCATAAATTCTCTGTTGGCCAAAATAGACTTCCATATCACTGAATCATTGGCCCTAGCATTCATAGATCCCAAACCACCCTCTGATCTAGGCAAGGTTATTTTATCCCAGGCAAGGAGAGAGATTTTCTTTTTATCATGATTGCCACTCCAGAGAAAATTACTTACTCTCCTCTCGACTTCCTCTTGAACCCCTACAGGTACAGAGAATACTGCAGCCCAAAAGTAATAATAGGAAGATATAACTGATCTGATGAGTTCCACCCTACCTGCCATAAAAAGATTAAATGAATTACTAATCTTATCTATTTGAGTTAATCGTATCATCCATTTCAACATTCCCATATCAGCAATGGTTTGCAATGTCATTGCTTCTTTTTCAGTGCATGATATTTTATGTCATATAAAATACATTGTCGAATAATCCTCCAATAGAATTTTTTTCGATATTCCCTTATCATATATAAGATACCAAAAGCTTGTCTCTACTTTGCCCAACATTACATCGTCACGTTATCATCCTAAATATCAATAACGGTTATTTTGAATAACTCTCTAACATTGAATTGTTATCATTACATTTCACAAACTATGTTGTTGTTGAATACTTGGATTACATTCTATATATTCTGTTTTAGTTATACTAAATTTCAAACTCTGACTCAAATGTATTTCTGTGGGTTTTCACTTTTATTGCTAGAGTATTATTAGAATTGTGAGAACAGCCTTAGTGCAATGGTAAAGTTGCACCATTGTGACTTGGAGGTCATGGGTTTGAAATGAAAAATAGTCTCTACGCATGCGGAGATAAGGCTGCATTTATTTGACCCTATCCAAATGCTGAAATGATGAGAGCCTTCTGCATTGAGCTAGTCCTTTTTTTAGCTTTACTAAAAGTGTCTAACAAAACTATGTATCAGCAACCAACATGCTCCATTAAATGCTTCTTGTATATCTTTCGTTATTTAATCTTAAACTATTGCAAATAGATAGGTTCAATGATGATCCTTGGTCCAAACCTACTTTTATGTCAAAATCATTAGTTTCTTTGCGTATAGTTTGAACACTAGTTCTCGTGTTTTTGTACATATCTCATATGATTTTAATGAATTTCAAATAATCTAATTTATGATTTCTCTACAATAATGATCTTATGGTTATTTCAAGTTTCCTCAATAATCAGATTGTACGTATAGAATTGAATAAGTAACAGTTTATAGGAAATCAAATAAGACGAGAGAGGAATCACTCACAGGATGGTCAGTTTTCCATCAAGGCTGCTCAAAGAAATCTGCAGGGCAAGTCAGGCGCAGAAGGATATCCATTTACACAATGGAAACTGGTGTCCCCAGAAACTTAAGGCTCCGACTATGCAGGACAAATTATCAACCAAAAAGAGAGGCAGTCCGCAACTTAAGTAATAACAGTGGCTATGCGTTAAAACACTCTACATGTGCTAACAGACAGTTGCAAGGCTTGAGCGTATGGAGTTTATTTAATCCAAAGGATTTGGTGCCTAATTCAAAAGTTGAATACTGATTGAGAAACAAAGAGATATTTAAGGTAGCTAATTATAGTTGTCCATGCAGTTTGGCCGCTTTTGACCTGGAGAAATAAGAGTTTGTTTGTACCAAGCATTAACCCACCTTTTTATCCAGGAAAAAAGAAAAGAATAGAAAAAAGACTATTCTGAATATGGTTGGGAGATCAGTGATGCTTTTGAGTTGTGCATTGGAAGCCAATTAGAATTGAATCTTCCATTAAGCGGATATTCCCAGCAGGATAAATAGAACTGAATACTGATGGCAGCTCAAAGAAGAAATCCTGAGCCAGCAGGAGGGTGGGACTAGCTAGCAATAGTTTGGGAATCTTTGAAGTTGGATTTTACAGTCAATATTGGAGTTGGAACTGTGACAGCAGATGAATTGTGGGCGTGTATCATGGGCTGAAACTAGCACGGGATGCTGGTTTTAAGAAAATAGTTGAGACTGAATCCCTTGTAATGGTTAGGTTGCTTAACAGGAATAGTGTGCAACGTGATCCCTTGGCACTCCTTATTCATCAATTACAGGGTTTTTTTTCAGCGGTCTTTAAGACTTGACTCACATCCACACCTATAGAGAAGGAAATATTTCCGCCCAGAAGTTAGCTACTATTAGCTATAATAACATGTCAGGCCTAAACATTTAGCAGAGTCCACCTCTAGAAGTGGGACTTCATTCCCCTGCATATGTTTAGTCACTTAGTTGTAGGATTTAGCCCTCTTCCCTTGGGGAAGGGAAAAAAAAGAGTCCGGCATTTACCGAGTCACATTTTGTCACAAATATTGCTGAATTATCCCTGCTACTGCCTACACCATTCTCTTCAACTCTGTAGCCTTTTCTTGTCGCCTATCTGTACATACAATTCAATTATATAATGACTTTGTTTTGAATGATGTGAATATTTCAATAGAACATTTTTTTCTCCCAAATATTGATATTGCCTAATGGAGATTCTGTTCTTTGTCATGCATTGTTTTCTCTACTCAATTTTATTTTTCGATTTTCTTGCAAACATTCCAGCAACTTGAAAACTTATTACAATGTTCTCAATAAGTAAACCAAGTCCCAACTTCTATCGTAACAAAATTTAAAAACATTATGCATTTATGTATATTGACATATTTAAAGAATGCATCTGTATTCACTTTATGATTTGTTAATTGGAGTTGTTTACATGCTTCATTGTGATATAGTTAAACCCCATTTCTTTCTTTATTTATTTTTTGTTATATTTTCTTATTTTAAAGGCAGCAATATTATGTCAATGCAGGTTGTGCCCATATAAAAAGCATAGGAGATGCAGTTGGAGTCCATTTTTCTTCATCGACATGGCAATTCACTAGCGCGGATCCAGTGTAGTTTTCTTTCATCTTCTTTTTTTTTTTCTTTTTTATTTATTGGTAAGAAAAAGCAAATTGATGGATGAAATGGATCCAAAGTTATTAGATCTAAAAGCTCATAATGTTTTAATTATGTAGACCACATCTTTCTGCACCATGTTTTGAATGTTTATGCTAGTTATACTCTTGAGCTTACTGCTCAACAAACTTGCTGTGATGATGATGAGACAAGGACGCTGTAGCTATTATAAGTAATATGATGAAGATACCTGCTGGCACATAAATAAAACGTGTGTTTTTGTTGATGAAATGACACAATGTTATCTACTGGATTATCGAAAAAAGCACGAAGTAGTGACAATCCAGAGTAGCAGAGGATTTGTGTCTAGGTTAATTAAGGGTTCAGGTGGCCGTGAAAGTCTATAATACACCTAGGGTTCCGTACTCCCAGGGTTCTTATCAGTTGGATAATATGGTAGTGGGACCCACTTGATGAATGATCCACAGTTGAGAGGTCCCGGGAGTATCGTAGACTTTCTCGAGTAAATTTCATTTACCTTTTCTAAAGTTTGTCAATATTTCACATAGATTCTATCTTGGTTTCATAATCACACATCTCTTATGATGATGTGATTTATGTAACAAATTTTCCCCAGCCATTTGAGGTTGCGGTTTATGTAACAAATTTTCTCCAACCATTAAGGCACTTGATGGAGACCAACAAAATCGGTTAATGTTAGCAACAAAAAATGGATAAAGCTTCAGGTTTGACCTTGACAACATTTTATGGGCAAAAAGGTATAATAAGAATAACATACTATTGTGACTCGGGAGATGAGTGGGACTATAAAACTTGATGGGTCTATGTGGGATAAGGGGGATTATAAAACTTGATGGGTATATGTGGGATACTGATTAACTTCATGAAAGGTAAATGAAATTTATTATTTATTATTATTTATTTTTAGTGGCGTTAATTAGAGAGAGAGACTGAGCCATAAGTCATAATATTTCATAAAAGAGGGGGAAAAAAATGGCATGGTGTTGATTAAGTGGACTATTATAAATTTACGTTAAAAAAGATTTATATTTAATTTTTTTAAAGAAAAATATATGGTTAATTTCGATTTTACAAATGTAATGTAGTGGAATGCTTTAATCCTTCCCCCCTTTTGGGGAAGTTATGTGTATTATGCTTAGCCATTATTGGTAAGAAAAAGATATAATGTGTGCAATTTCACTATATATCTTCATAGTCGTTATATATCAATTCTTTATTCTATATATGCATATGTTTATAAATAAGGGAAAATTACATATAAATGGAGTCAAAGTTCCATATTTACTTAGAGGCTGAGTCAAAGTTCCATATTTCTCTAAAATGGATTGCTGAGGTGGCACATGGTTTTTTACTGTTTAGAAATTGTGGTGCCTAAAATACCCTTCCGCGAAGGTACTACTTTTTCTTCGAAGGTACTACTTTTTTGAACTGAAGGTACTACTTTTTGGCGTCCAGGTACCATGTTTTTTAAATACTCGCGAAGGTACTACTTTTTCTCCGAAGGTACTACTTTTTTGAACTGAAGGTACTACTTTTTTGAACTGAAGGTACTACTTTTTTGTTAGGGAAGGGTATTTTAGGCACCACAATTTTTTAAACAGTAAAAAACCATGTGCCACCTCAGCAATCCATTTTAGAGAAATATGGAACTTTGACTCATTCTCTAAGTAAATATGGAACTTTGACTCCATTTATATGTAATTTTCCCTATAAATAAAGCAACCTATATGCATCAAGTCTAAGTAGCATTATTTAATTTTGAAATTGGTTAGAGTTTTAGGTTTAAGTAGGATGGTCAACCAACTTAACTTTTATAATAAATTTCAATTTTATAAAGTACAAGGGCATAATAATCATTTCACCTTTTTTACTCCATTGGACCAAAATTGAATTCTTGTAATGAACAAATCACCTAAAGCAATTATTGACCAATATTATTGACCAAAATTGAATTCTTGTAATGTTTCGCTTGTGATTATATATATATATATATATATATATATATATATATATATATATACTGTCAATTTTTTTTTAAGAAAAAAGTTAAACACTTTAAAATGTGTTCATATTATTTTTAAAATTACCAGATATACTTGTGTTATAAATGTTTAAAATTGTCGATTCAAGTGTTCAAGAAGTATCGATGAAGAGTCCAAAAATATCGAAAAAGTGTCTAAAATAATAATAATTTATTTTTATTTACGAATACATATATGAAGTGTTGGTCACATCTTCACACTCTTAAATCTCACTTTTTCCATTCATAAAGAAATAAACTCTCCAATCCACATGACATAATACATAAAACTTAATGTTAAATGACAACTCCAGATGCACATTAAAGCTAAAAGGGTAAGTTTATAAGACTGTCGATCATGTGGATATTTGCATGCATATATATATAGATATATAGATATATGCATATATTCTCAGATATCATATATAAATATTTATTTATATTAATTGTTTTCAATTTTAATTTTAATACAAACTAAATCTGTTTGAATCCCTCACGTTTTGTTGATATGCAATTTCTAGAGATGGCAATTTGACTCGCCCCTGTCGTTACCTGCCCTACCCCGTCCCATTTTTGGCAGTTTTGGGGGACTGTTTTGCTTATTTGGGCGGAGATAATTTAATACAATAAAAATCCACGCGAGTTTGGTGCGAGGGCAGGGATAGGTCGCCCCGCACCGTCCCGCCCCCGTTTAAATAAACAAATTACTTACGTACCCTTATTTGCATTAATATATATATTTTCCACTATATATTAACTATATATTAAATACTTTATATAACAATATTAAAATAACAAAATAAATTTTATTAAAAGGAAAGTTACAATGGTGAAGAATTGAAAATTAAAAAAAAAAGTAATTGATAATTAAATTATGGTCTTCAACAGGACGGGACAAATACCCATGGGAGTAAAAATGTTAAACGGTTATAGGGATGGAATAAATAATTCTTCCCTTTTTGCAATTTTGGGCGGAGACAGGTATAGGATTTTTAAACGATTGCGAGACGAGAAAAGATACACCTGTCCAAACCCGCCTCCGTTACCATCCCTAGCAATTTCATTCAAACATGAATCAAAACTACTCTAACCAAAGAATAATAAAATAAAATGTAGAAAGAAAATATCACTAAACGTTAATTATACAACTAACATAGTCTTCATTCATTTAATATAACTAGGTAGTAGAAATTAAGTTTTGCTTAGCAACAAGTAAAATTGGGTTGGGGCACGCATAGAAACACATCATAATTCTTGACCCGGTCCCACCATTTCGAAACCCTCTTCCCATAACCACCACCACCACCATTTGGTTGCTCACCGCCACGCTTCATCGTCACATTAGCATCAGCTTCTTGATCCACTTGAAAGCAGTCCTCCAGCATCATCTTCCTACTCTTGGTCTTCTTGAAATTGCAGTGATAGTACTTGTTCTTCTCCGCTGGTCGATTATGTTGGTCGCTTTTGAGTAACAACTGTTCATGGTACTCCTTGTTCTTCTTCTCCAACCCATATATTTGCCTCTGAAGATCCTCAATCTTCCGGCCTAGCATACACACGCCGTGATCCTCCCTCATTCTCAGCACGCAATGCGCCAGCTCACCGGCCTTCCTCTTCATGAACATCGACTCCGATGCCAACCCTTTGTTCTCCTCCAGCAACGCGGCCACTTTATACCCCAACCGTGCGTTCTCATCCAGCAGTATCAGCCTCTCCGACTCCAGCACCTCCAACAAGCTCTTCTGCAGCTCAATCTTCCTCCAGGACTCGCTCCAGTACCTCTGCTCCGCCACCGCGCCCATCTCGTCCACGAGGATGTCACACTCTATCGACTTCATCACCAGCTCCACAACAACAGCATCACATTGGGTGTCCGCAAAAAGTACCGGAGGAGGCTGCTGGTAAGAGAGTGAGCTCTCGGCATCAGAGCCGATATCGTTTTCTTCGTCCTCATCGCGGTAATTATAGTGCTCGTGCGAAGAATGTTGACGACGGTGATGATCATGATTGTGCTTGGTGAGCGTTTGGTGGTAACGGTCGGCTAGGGAGAGGTAGGCATTGTACAAGTCCTGAAGCAGGGTGACCAGCTGAGGGCGTTTTTCATAGTAGGCTTCGGCACGTTGGGCAAAAGTGTCATTGTCGTCTTTTTCGGGGACGTTTAGTGCCACCATTTTCATCCTCTCGTCCAAATCTGTGAAATCCAAAATTTGAATTATGCGAAAAGTTAAATTTTAAATTTGGAGGGAAAGCATTAATACTTGATTTTGAGTCTTGAGAGACTATACTATCAATAATGGTCCCATTGCCCATATTCTGCATATGGAATACTGCCAGACAATATTAAATGATAATAACAGTATGCTTACAAAAGATGAGAATATTTTCATGAGTGATAATAATATTCAATATTCACACTATATAATAGCTCCAAGACTCGCCCCATCTTGAAAGTCAGAATTCTTTTGGGGTTATTTTAGGGAAATTTTGTCAGTAATTATTCGCTACATCAGGGATGGAAGTCAATGGAGGCAATTGCCCCAACACAACTTTTTGGATCCGTCGTCCTACGGTGCATGTGAGATGAGAGAGTATAAGCATGTGGGATGAGAGACTACTTATACTCGATGGTGAATTATGAAATGTTGTTAAGAAGTTCAACACACGAGAGGAAAAAAATATTAAAATAAAACAAAACATTTTGCAATATGTAAAATTATATGTTAGATGAAATAAAATCAATCCATTTTGTACAAACACCAATATAAAGATGATAGATCTGATCCAGGTTCAGCTTCAATCCATTTTAAAAACTATATTCAAAATTATAATTCCAATTCGGGAAAAAGAAATTAGATTTTTAATGTTTCAATCCTCGGGTTAAAAACTCAACAACTATATAAAAAGAGGTACTTTGAAGTCCAAGTTACAGAATACAGAGACCAAAGGTTGTATGGTGTATTGGTACTTTCTTGCATTTTAAAGTAAAATGTGGAGGGTTCAAGTCAAGGACAAATCCGGAAAGTTGTGGAAGGAGGGGCAAAAGTGAATTTAGTTTTTTTTTTTTTTTTTTTTGTAATTTTAAGGGAACAAAGTGAAAATTTTATAGATATAAAAGTGAAAATAAGAAAATTTAGTAGTATATAACGGTAAAAAAAAAAAATTAATTCAGTAGGGGCAATTGCCCCCACTGACTCTAATGTGCCTTTGTCCTGGTTCAAGTTATTCTGGACAAGTGGGTGAGTATGTTTAAGGTAAAATAAATAAATTAATAATTCTAAAGTTTCAGACCATGAATCCATTTGGCAACTGCCCTTACTTTGCTCTAATGTGCCTTTGTCCTGGTTCAAGTTATTCTGGACAAGTGGGTGAGTATGTTTAAGGTAAAATAAATAAATTAATAATTCTAAAGTTTCAGACCATGAATCCATTTGGCAACTGCCCTTACTTTGTTTTTTTTTGTTTTTTCTGGTGTACTGTAATAAAGCAAAAATACTAAGCATGTCTGGTAATGTTTACTATCACTTAAATAATACCAAAGCGTTTCCGAAAAAGGCCAAAATCGGAAGCATAAAAATTATTATTTTGGTTTCGTCTGCACTACAGAAAAAGCTCGGTTTAAAAAAAAAATAAAAATCTAAAATCATTTTTATAATTAGCCATTTAATTTTTCTAACTTATAACACTTTTTATCAAATATACTTTCATGTTTTTGCTTTCAAAAATCTTATAGTTACCCAACAAACTTCAAAATAGTTAAACACACTCTAAAAGTAAAAATACTACTACTACTCGGAATCAAAGCAAAAGTCGTTACCAAATCAAATTGTGGATAATTAGGGTTTAGTCACAATCCAAGGACCAAAGGGGAACAGGATCCCGGATGCATTGGGAAAATTTTAGGAGAATATCTTTTTTATTTTCAGAAACAGTAGGGGGACCATTAGTAGTAACTTAATACTGTAGCTGTCTTTGAATTTCAAACTTGTTTTGTCTACGCCAAAAGTGACCACTCATTCATTCCTGTTTTTTCTAGACCCTGATAGCATATATTATTGTCCCACAAGCCAAAGATTTTTGTTGTGTTGGGGCTTGGTTTATCAACACACACATACCTCACGCGCCAATCACACACTGGTGTAAAATATACGCACACCTCACTACCTCAAAAGCGCAGCGCGTGCTGTATACTACCACAGAGGAGAGCGTGAGGCTTGTTTATATCGCATCAATTTGACTATAGCAACAACACAATAAACACAAATGTCCTACACAAGTTACCAAAAGTTTTCGAATCAAAACAAACCCACAGAGTTCTTAGCTACTGCTCTAATACCGTACTAATGATGAAGAGACCTATCACGAATTTCTTGGTGTTGCAAATTACTATTATAAGTGTGTATATATATATATATATATATATTCTTATTGTAAATTACAATGACCTATCTTGAAATGCAGTTTGGGCGTGACTAACAGAACATCTTTTCTTAAACAAAAGGTATTCCTTTGATCTTTAGAATATTATAATTTATTTTTTTATTTTTTTTCACGATAATCTCTGGTATATAATTGACAAATTATAATAATAGTTCAACTTTATTGTTTTGATCCCTTGTAAACTCATTTCGAAATTGTAATGTCTTTATATTATAAGAATATATTATATTACATTTGATATATGATTAGAATAAATTTATCATTTCATAAAATTTGGGAAGAAAAAAATAATAATAATAATACGCGTACAATAAGAGTATTGTCAAGCACACGTCATTAATCAATTTATGGGCAAAAACACACGCACACACACACACACAATAAGAGTGTTGTCGAGCACATGTCATTGATCAATCTAAGGGGGTAATTTGCCCAATTCTAAGAAGTAGAGTGTTATTTATACAATTTTTAATTCACAAATATAAAAAGATGTCCTTAAATCTATCAAATGCAAGTGTAAGTAAGTGAATATTTATTTTGGGACATAAGAAAATACTTATATATATTTTCTATATATATATATATATATATATATTAAAGTAACGACAACCAAAAAAAATTCTCGAATTTGATTATTTATAAAAATCATCATAACCCTATCATTTTTAATTTTTAATTTATTTTTAATGTACATGGTAATTAATAATAGCCGGGAGTAAAGACTATACAGCTAGAGAGCTGGTCGTTGAAACAAAAGACAGTTTGATTCAAAATTTGGCCCACAGAAGCCCAATTTACTCCTATATATTATATATTATACACACATAAAGTATCTCTGGACTTTTGCTGACCGTGAATAAAAACTTTTTCCTACACAAATTATTGAATATTATTGTTGTATATAATAATCTAAACACCAGTAATCCAACGGTGTGGAGAGAACTTATGGTGTTGTAAAAAAAGCTATCAAAAGTGAAAATTTGGAAAATAAATTGAGGAGACAAATTATATAAAAAGAGTACCGGAAAGAGTGGATAGAAGCCAAAAGGAAGTTGGGTTGGTGAAGCTTCTTAGACTTTTTTTTGATTGATTTGACGCAACAGCAACAGCAACAGCAGCAGCTGCTTCTGCTTCCGCTTCCTTCGTCCCCATCTTCTTTTCTTCACCAGTCTACGGAGATGGGCCCTACACCATTAAATTTACAACTAAATTTATCACAAACAGTAAATTCATTAAACACACATATACTGCATATATATATATATATATATATGAAATAATATATGTATGTGTATGGTGTGAGGCAAATGATTCTAGATTTGAAATACATGTAAATATGTAACGATGTATGTATATTTAATGATATGGTACGAGTAATTAAATTGAGAAAAGGAATAGAAGCAGAACATTTCAGATGGTAGAAGAACATCAATTCAAAACACACACAGAGTCACACATAGAGAGAGAGAAAAAAAGCGCAGATCTCGAGCAACTGCGTTTTGCTTCTCCACTCAAAAAATCAAATACTCTTCCATCACTAATCCCCAAACATAAAATAAAATAAATTAAACCCAATTTTTTATTTTGATTATTCCACAAAATAAAAAAAAAAATAAAAATACAGAATGATGTTTGTGTTGAAAGAAAAGAAACCCATTAATTTTTTTTAGAAGATGAGACTGAAAAAATGGAGTTTTTCAACATACATGTCATTTTCACATGATTTTAGCTGAAGATGACACAAGAAACTGAATTGGAAGTTCTTTGAGAGGTAGAGATTACAATAAATGTTGGTACATACAGTAAAGAATACACCCGAGTACAGAATACAAGAACAGAAGCAGAATATAAATATATATATGTGTGTGTGTGTGGGAGTGTGAGTTGATTTGTTTGTGTATAGAAAGAAGTTTAAGTCAGAAACGCACAATACCTCCTTTTGTCTTCAAAATTGAGACTTTGAAGAAAACAGAGTAATCACCCGGAGTTCAGATGGACCGTAAACACAAACCCATAGGGTTTGATTGCTTGTACCAACTTCTCACCTTTACTACACAAGTAGTGACAGTAGGGGTTGTGATATATATATATATATACATGCTGTTACTATATAAGTAGAAAGCTGAGTCTAAGGTATGGAGGGATTTGGAATTGACTAGTGAGTTACCGACACGTGTATGTCGGCACCAAGCCATTTTCAAATTTGCAAAATGGAGGCGTCAATTGCAAAAATGACCCGGTACTTATACTCCTCTGTCCTGCAATAAAATTTATATTTAAAAATTAAAATTTTTAAGGGGATATGAAATTAATGCATTAATTTTTTTTAAAATTATTAAATTATTTTTTTAATTTAAATATATATAATTATAAAGTTTGAAATTTTTTTAAAAAATAAAGGATAATAATGAAAATATAATGAAAAGATGTTTTGACTTTTCAAAGAGGACAACTAATTTGGAATATGTAAAAAGCAAAAAAATATACTACTAATATGAGACGGAGGAAGTATAAGTTTTTGCATATTCCATAGGGGTGCAATTTGGGTTGGTAACCCGAACCCAACCTGAGACTTGTTCGATTTTTTAAGAACTTGAACAATTATTTTTATAATTAAGGTTGGATTTGAATTAAAAAATCTTAACCCGAATTTAATTAGGATTGAGTTTGGATTGAAGTACTAATAACCCGAGCCAACTTAAACACGAATTCTAATATTATTTTCATATATATTTTTACTTTTAAATACATTATATATAATATTTAAACTATAATTACTTTTTTTTCTTTTCAACTTTTTTTATTAAATCTTAACATATTGTATGCTAACATTTAGAATAATTAATTTTATAAAAATTTGTTTGTAATTTATTAAAAATTTATAAAAAGTCTTTAAAATTTCTTCTTGTTTAAGAGTAATTTAATTTAAAACTAATTCAAGATCATATTAAATTATTGGTATAAAGATTAGCATTATGAGTAATCCGAATTAACTCGAAATTTAAGTCCAAGTTGCAAATCCGAATTTAAAAGTAGAAGGATGGGTTGGGCTTGAGTTTAACTTTTCATATGGTGCGTTGGGTTCAAGTTATACCTCAAACCCGCCTAACTCGCCGGAGTTGTAGCCCTAATATTCCATCCTTGGGGATTGCAATTTGTCCTTTTCAACTTAAGAGGAAGGTATATCCTCCAACATTTCAATAGTAAAGGCCATGTTTGGCAAATCTATTTTTTTTTTTTTCCCTCTTTCTTGTGCTGTCATTTCTATTAAAATCGACATCAGTGATTTGTTCCGATGTTATTTCTGTCACCAAAATTTGTTTTACAAGATAATGGGTTAATTACGTTCACATCGTTTGAGGTTTGCTCCATTAATAATAAGATGAAAATTAGCTCATTTTTAAACAATAACACCCCTCAAGTTAATAAATACACATTTAACACATAACGAATTAACCTTCTTACCCTTTACTAATTTTAATTGGACTAATTTTAAAGGTACTTGACAAGGGATAAAATGGCCCTTCCAGATAGAATTGGATGCAATTGTGCATACCATTGGATAGACAAGCAAAAATTAATAAACTAAGAGTCAAAAATTACTTGATTCGAAATCCAGACAATGAAGATATGAAGCCTCAAAGTTTTATTAAAAACAAAAAAAAAAAAAAACCAAAATGGTGCTCAAGTGCTGCTGCCAGAAAATCTGCAGATGCAAAAAAATAAATAAATAAAATAAAATAAAAAATAAAATAAAATAAAATTTGTTGTCCAGAACAGAGAGCTGAAATGGGCTAGAAGATGACGTTTTCTAGAAAAACACGAAGAAGAAACCCCCCTTAAAATCGAGATTTCTACCCGGTCGCGTGAAAGAAAATGAAAAAAACTTACTGTAAAATACCCAGAATGCCTCAAGAAAAACTAAGTCAAGAGGGTGCCTAAAAGTTGCTATAGGGACTGTCTGAAATCTGCCAGAACTAAGAGCAAAAACGGGGCCCTTAACAATATTTTCTGGAAAATACGAAGAAGAAACCCCCCCTGAAATCGAGTTTTCTACCCGGCCATGTGAAAGAAAATGAAAAAAACACATTATGAAATACCCATAATGCCCCTAGATTAGGAAAGGATAAAAACTCAAAAAATGCAACTTTGCACCAAGTATGCATTTAACTCTAAATGCATTTCTAGGCTGAAACGAATATGCATGCAAGCGTAGTAAATGATTTTAAGCGCGTGGGAATGGTCCGCGGCTCCCGAGAAGACCCAATACAAAATTCGACCCCCCCAACGGCCAAAAAAGGCGAAAATGCACATGAAAAAGGGAATTTTGAAACTTAAATTATAAAATGGTTTTAAATTACCGTTTGGCCCTTTACCACACTTCATACATGATTAATGAGACCCTAGAGAAGAATAAAAATGGAATTCTCACACCCGATGCAAACATGGTAAGGCAATGACTAGTCATTTTTTTATTTTTTTTCATAATATACCTTGAAAGTGAAAATGTATAGAATACAAATTAGATGTCATTGGCCTATGGCCTCATCTCATACATGTCAAATACATTGTAAAAAGTGTACTTATGTACACATTACATATTTAGAATCAAATATAAATATTTTGACATATAAGGCTACAAGTAGCATTTCAAGCCAACCTTTATAAAAATTGAAACCTTCAAGTCTAAAAAGCATCCAAGCATAATGAGAATCTCGAACCTTGATTCCTGTACCTGAAAAATATTCCCACTACGTGGGCGAGTAACACAAAGCTACTCGTAGGAGATGAGCATGCAAAGATCTAGCGTTTTACAAACTTATTAAGTTAATACAAATCTATTCATACGGTCATGCCACCTAGTGTCTAAGTCAAGTATCCCTAACATACATCACATCATTCATGCAATTTAAACAATATAGAAGCATGCGGTACACGCAACAAGACATTAAATATATAAGTATACGTACGCAAGTATATAATCAAAATTGAAATACACTTAAGACAAGTATACAAGATACAAGTATACTAGATTATCTAGAAAGTAAAACATCAATATACAAATGTACATACTAAGTACGCTAAGCAATATTGAAATGAAAGAACGACATATATATTCAAGTATACATTTCTAAGTATATTAAGCAATGTTAATATACATAGCATACAAGTATACAAATCCAAGTATACAATGCAAGAAATGACGTATCATGCATCCTAACACAAGTTAAAAGCAATCTAAGGTTATAACTAGGAATTGAATGCGAAATCAACAATTGGCGGAAAGACAAAGGACATAAGGTCTCAATGACCAAGCAAGTAGTTCCGGGTTACTAGCCCATAAGGTATTACCTAATGCGCAACTAAAACCGGAATAAAACCGTTATATTAGTGATTCTGGGTTACTAGCCCTCAGGGTACCACCCGGTGCGCACTATATGAAATAGAAGGAACTCTCATCCCTCGTACTAGAGTCATGCCCTAGCCGTAACAATTTCCAATGTCCATACAAGCTTTCTAAAAATCATTAAGTTGTGCAACAAGTATATCACATATACATAATGCACCAAAATCAATTACCATGCACAACTAAGTTATGGAATACACACAAGTCATGTCCTAGGCATTCAAGTTACAATGACTTATTAAATGCCATATAAATAAAATGTGAATACTTACAAGTTAAATCATAACTTCAACTCATGGAATACTATCATGTAATCATATAACAAGTTCCAAACTATAAATTAAGCAAGAATATAACATCAATGCCTAATTACCTCAATGGAAGCATAAAATGAAATTCAATTATCTTAAGTAATTAAATTCTCAAGATTACAAAGCAACTCCAAATATTCTACAAATCATATATGTCAAAGGCCATATTAAGACCTATCTTAATTTCATATTAGAAGTTAATTCTACACTAGGCATCACTAGGTGAATTAAACTTCATACAAGAAAATAATTAAATAAAGTATTTAGGGCTTATTCAAATATTCTCAATTCAAGGTGTGTTAATAAACATATTAAGGTCTACTTTGAAATCATATTACAAGCTAATTATGCATTAGTTATAACTAAGTAAATTAAACTTAATGCCAATAAAATAAACAAATAAAGTTCTCAAAACTTATTCAAATATTATCTATTTAATATATATGATAGAACATGCCAAGCTTATCAATAATATCAAATCAAAAATCCAATTAAGTGATTAGAGCATTTAAAGTAAAATTAATTAATCTCGCCCGAATGAGCTCGAACAGATTGGAGAGTGCGAGCTGTTGTAACTGAGCTGATTGAAGTTCTTTTACCTGGCTGAAGGCTTCTTCTTCTTCAAAACCGCTGGAAATGCATCTATAGTCTCCATTCCCGTATGAACCATAAATCATAGGTTTAACAGCCCTCAATTCGGTCTACGAATTGATATCAATCGTGGTAATTCCTGGAACGAAGTCCTGTTGTGATTCACATAGATGTTATTGACGCTAATTGCTTAGTCGAAATACCTCTCTTTCCGTAAGTCATTTGCTTGCTAATCCTGATATTTGTTCATCCCTTGGGGAGTGTAGCTAGTGGGAATACACGCCTTATTTGATTAGTCAAGTTGCTTTATTGTTTGATCTAATTAATTAATTTTCTCTAGATTTTAAAACAATTCAGAATATTCTCAAATTCATCTACGTTAAAGAACATACCAATGCCTAATTTAATATCATATTACAAGTTGATTCCATGCTACTTACAACCATGTGAATTAAATTTTTATTCAAATGAAAGATTAAATAAAAGTTGCAATACTTATTCAAATCCTCCCAATTTAATATATATTAACAAGCATATCAAGGCCTAATTTAATAGTATATCACAATTTAATTCCGAGCTATATACAACCATGAGAATTAAATCTTATCCATATAAAATAATTAAATTAAATTCTAGAATTAATACCAAGGCATGCTTACAAGTTGTATATGCTTAGAAAACAAACAGTACAACATAAATATAAACCTAAAATATCTCCTACCTCATTTTGTAATGAAATCACAAATCCCCAACGAAACAAAAACGTCCCGAATCCAACGATAC